AAAGGGACCGGAAAGGATGATTGTTGTTCAGGGATTTTGCCCGGAACCTCACTGGTGGCGCAGAACCGTGCAAGTCCAAAAGTCATCGAAATATGATTTCGCATGAATAGGCTGGAAGGGAAAAACATACGCTCCTTTAAGGTATTTTGAGCGCAAACACGTTATGCCAAATACACCGTTAAAAACCCATACTAAATACATTACTTTCTCCCTGATTTTCGCCCTTTATCTCCTAGCCCGGCTTCCTCGTGCTCGCTCTGTGACGCTCTCGCGGCTCAAGTCTAGGAAAGCACCGGGATACGATCATTACTTCTAAAACCATTACTTCTAAAATCATTACTTCTAAAATCATTACTTTAAAGTCATCATTACTTCTAAAAACGTTACTTCTAAAATTTGGTACGCCGGATTACCAGTTTTTCGGCATATTTATGCCCAAAAATACGCTTAGAATTTTAGAAGTAACGACTTTTAGAAGTAATGATTTTAGAAGTAATGACTTTTAGAAGTAATGACTTTTAGAAGTAATGATTTTGGAAGTAATGACTTTTAGAAGTAATGACTTTTAGAAGTAATGATTTTAGAAGTAATGATTTTAGAAGTAATGATGGGTAGCCGAAACCCCCCCCCCCCAGCCGACTTTTCAACTGTCCTACCTTCCTTATTTTTATGTTTCGCTAGTTTTTTCGACTGAACTGCAACGTAGTCTTACTAATTAGCCTACGGCGAACATTTTGGTATACTTTAGAGCTCGCTAGCTCAAAGGGGGGCGAAATACAAAAGTTTGTGCCGGCTGGGGGGTTTCTAGACTCTTACCCCTCTCGCTCAAGCTCCGAATCACTCTCATTTGGTTTAGCCTTTGTCTCTTTGATCCTCTCTCACTCCCTCGCTGTCTCTCTCTCCCTCTCTCTCCCTCCCTCTCTCTCGCCCTCTTTTTCTCTCTTCTCTCTCCCTCCCCCCTCACCCGGTCTCTCACTCTCTCTTCCTCTCAAATGTTGATTATCCTGCAGATTGGAGGCAACTACTCTTGTTGGTCCGCGTCGGGGTACAAACGGCGTCCCAAAAACGTAGATTTTGCATCGATGAAAACTGATCGGCACCTGTATAAACACTACGGATCAGATGACGCCGCCCGGCACAGGATCGCTCCGGAATTCAGACAAATTTGTGCAAAATTTTGAGCGATCGTCGGCTATTTTGAGATAGAGAGAAAGTCGCTGGACAATAGAAAGTTAAGGATATACCACTTCACTACAAGGTCCTACGGTAGCTTCCTCATTTCTTTTCACTCCGTAATTGCACCTTCCCAAGCCGATAATTGCAAGCTTAGCCGGGCAGCTCTCACAAGCTCTTGGTACCAAAAATTGTTTGTTGAGCGCCCCAAAAAATAGTTACTTGATCTTGTCGCGCTTTCTCGGTTCAGGGCACATTTTCCGAGAAACGCCACCCTTCGTGATCCGCTCCAGACGCCCGGAGAATGGGCCTTATTAATTGAGCCATTCTGTGTGCACATATCGCACATAAGCCGCCGAAAAATACGGAGGTAACATGGGGCTACGGAGTACCAGAGATTCAGGCGTGTACCCGGGGACCAAAAGGCGCCGGGGCATGTGGAGAAGATATTTTTCCGGGACCGATTCGAAATTGGAAATTGGAGGAAAGATATCTGATAAATGTCAAGCTTAGCTTACGCTTAAGACTACGCTTAGCCTTGTGCCTCCAAGCCTGTGCCCACGCCTACACGTAAGCCAAGTTTGAGCTAAGTCTAATCTCATGCGGAAGCTTACTTCCGCCTAAGCGTGACCTTAGCCCAAGCCTCAGTCTAAAACTAAGTCCAAACCTAGGCAGCTTAGGTATAAGCTTAAGCCTAAGCTCAAGCCTAAGCCTAAGGCGAAGCCTAAGTTAAGCACGCACCAGAATCAACTGCCTGCAACCCTAGTAGCTGGCTGCTGTGTGCAAAATCGGCGTATTGGCTTTGCGCGTAGTTGCTATTAAAGCCAAGGAAAGAATCACATTTGCCAGCTTCTGAAAACCAAAAAAATCTAAATTCTTTGAAAATTATTCGGCTTCTTGTACGAGTATTTCAGAATTTAGGCCTTTCCGGCCCGTTTTTCATCTAACGGTATCATATAGGCGAGGAAATTGTCAACCAACGCAAATTTGAATGGGATATTTTCCGAGGGATGCACATCTATAGATTCTCTACCGTACGCCATCAGAGTTTCGACGCTAAAATTTTGGTCGCACCGTGTTTTGGTCCAGACAGCCCGGGCGGCGGCACGCGGCCCGGGCAATCCGTTTATCAACCGGTGTATGCGAGGAGGGCCGGGAATGCGATAAAAATTTTATTCGTGGGGCCACGTCAGGGGGCCGGGCAGTTCTCATAGCTTATCACTCGACCCCACCGGGCGGCTAGCGGCTCGTCCTTTGGAGGTACCAGCGGAAGGGTACTTGGGGTGTCTGGGGGAAGGGATGGGCAAAGGTTTGACGAAAACTGGGGGGTTGGGCGAATGTGGGGGGACGTTGGGAAAATTGTTGGGCTTGAGCTAGGGCTTGAGCTTGAGCCTGAGCCTGAGCCTGGGCTTGGGCTTGCGCTTGCTGAGCTTGAGCCTGAACTTGAGCTTGAGGTGATGTCGTACGAGTATCTTTCGCGGGAAGCTGAAGCTGGCAGAACGTTGCTGTAGGAATAGCTGGCGATTCTGAAATGTGACAAATTAGGATAAACATGAGATCACTCTCTCATTCTCTCTCACCGTCTCTCTCTCCCTCCCTCTGTCCTTGGTCTGACTCTCTCTCGCTCTCTCTTTCTCTCTCTCTCTCTCTCTCTCTCTCACTCTCTATTTTCTCTCTCTCTCTCTCTCTCTCTCTCTCTCTCTCTCTCTGTTCCTTTCTCTCTAGCTCTCCCTCTCTCGCCCTCTCATTATCTGTTTTTCTCTCTCTGTCACTCTCTTTCTCTCTTTCTCTCTCTTTCTCTCTCTATCTCTCTCGCTCTCTCAGAGGTCATGTCATAACCCAAAATATTAAGTATCACGCCTTCAGACAAAACTGAACCCTTCAATTACAGCTCTGATCTCTTGGTGGACCACGTAAAACCGAAAGCCGCACTTGCCCGCACCACCCAAATTGGCACCTGCCTCCTTTTTCCGCGTATGTACCCTGTACTTGGTGCGGATTTGCGGGTCCCTCTTGTGGGAATCTCTGGCATAATGTACTCATTGAAGGACTCGGTCGTCACAAAGCGCAGGTGAGTAATGCTTGAACTTACGGGTGCGGCGGGACTTTGATTCGGCGATGGTTGGAGGAAAAATTGGGCGCCTGGCCCGGGGGGTGGTTGCTAAATTTAAGAAATCCTAAAAAAATTAAATAGAGAGAGAATAATAGACAAGCGGCGAGATAGAGAGAGAGAGAGAGAGAGAGCGAGAGAGAGCGAGAGAGAGCGAGAGAGAGAGAACGAGAGAGAAAGGGAGAGGTAGAGAGAGCGGGAGAGAGAGAGGGGGAGAGAGAGAGAGAGAGAGAGAGAGAGAGAGAGAGAGAGAGAGAGAGAGAGAGGGAGGGAGCGGGAGAGAGAGGTATAGAGGAGAGGGAAAGAGATAGAGAGAGAGCGAGGGAGGGAGTGAGAGAGGCGAGATCGACATTCAGGGAAAGTTACGCAAATTAAAGCTTACCATAAATTGTGGCCCATTCACAGTAGTAGATGCCGCTGGGAAATCAACGTTAGGTGCAACACCAGGGGCCTAAGTTACTTCAATTTATTTAGGAAGCTCATTAGTGGAAATTTTCCTGAAAAATTCAACGCACCAAAACACGTGCTCCTCCTACGATCGGACCTCGTGGTAGGACAGTCCCGGGTGGAAGCGCCGGAAAGGCAACTGGGACCGGGCCGGGCGGTGGTGGGGGAAGGGGACCTGTAGGTGGCTAAAAAACAGTTCATTCAGTTCAGTGATAAGCTAACTATAACTTTCCTGTGAAAGCCCCGCCTTCTATCAAAGAAGTGGCACTTCTATGACCTACCGTATTCAGAATCGGCACTGAATACGTCGGAGCAAGTAGTGGTGGTGGTAGAGGCGAGGGTGGTGGCTAAAAACGACGAATCAAGCTGAATATCGTGGTTATCATATGTATAGGATTGGCAGCAACGTAATGCCGGAACTACTGCGTACTACTACGCATTAAAACAGCTTTTCAATTGAAAAACAATCGAAAAACCGACCGGCGGAACAGCAACGGGCACGAGCGGAACTGGCGGCGGGGGTGAAGCCTGGAAAATGAACGTGGGGGTTTTCTCAAATGGCAAAAGTACCGCCAGGTAACGTCTGATATCGCATTACCAAACAACTTTGCTCTAGAAAATTACCAAATATGGAGCGCCTTTGACCACAGGCAACGGTGGGCATTTACAGTATCCAAGGTCCAAGCCCGGCATTCCACTCGGACCTCGGTTTCCAGGCTGACCGTGTTGGCCCTAAAATCGTAAATAATTTGAGTAAATCACCAGGGTTGAAAAACCGCTTCGCGGCTTTTCAACCCTGGCCCCGTCTAGGACCGATGAACGTCTTCAATTTGCATGCTTCTTCCCCGAAATCTATCAGGAAAAAAGTGAAAAACGGCTCCTCTGTCGCTTTATATAGGCTATCCCACTTCCGGCTTATGCTAATTGATCCCTAACGAAGAGGGTGGGCGAGAATTTTACAAAAATTTGTTTTTAATAGCGAAAATAGCAATTTTTCAAAGATTTTATTTGCGTGCAGTCGATTCCGGACCCTTCTTTACCTAATGACGTTTCTGCCCAATCGAAAAAATTCTTCCCTGAGGCTGTAGGTGCGGAACATCCTCACGGAAGTTGCATGCAAATGCACACACACATACAGACACTATTTTTTTATATATAGTAGGATGTTGGGCTTTTGAAGGAACTTGTAAAATAAGTAATGAATTTGAAAGCTTGGTTTTCGTAAGGCAAAATTGTCTTTGAATTGTCGAATTTCTGGAAACTCACGGGCATTCCACCCTTCCCAGGCTGCCCACCCGGCCCGACGAGGCCGGACATCCCTGGCGGTCCCGGGAAACCGGGATTCCCTGCTTTTCCACGATGCCCCTTCTTTCCCATAGGTCCCGGGGTCCCGCATGGATTTGCAGCGTGAGTGGCGTGGGTTCCTGTATACAGTAACAGTGCAAACCACAAAAATACGGTACCTGGCTGTCCGGGCTGGCCATCTCCGCCATTATTTCCAGGGGTACCAGGATCGCCAGGTTCTCCTGGATTTCCGGGCTCCCCAGGTTGTCCTTCTTGCCCAGGAGCCCCAGGTGTACCATTTTCACCAGTTGCTCCTTGACCGCCTGGAGGACCCTGGAACAAAGGTCTTGCTCTCCTCGGTGTACCAAAATAGCATTTTGTCTAAATTACCCTAAAACCTCGTGTATAGTTCCTCCCCGTGTATGGTTCCGGGTAAAAATACAAACCGTCCGTAATTCCGTATGACCGTAAATTGTTGTGTTTAGTTTTTTTTGCATTTTTGCATACAACTTGGTTCGCGGGTGGGCTTTAAGCAATTTGGTTTGAATTATTGGTCCCATTTTGATTATTACTGACATTTTAAGTGGTTTAATGAACGAATTAATGGTGGAGATCTTGAGAACCATCTCCTTGGCCTTACATAGTTTTTTGCGGCAAGTTGTCTCCTACGCACATTATTTGGTGTCATTTGTATTGGTACCTAACCAAATTGTGCCGGAACTATACACGAGGTTTTAGGGTACATCTTGTCGAAATATCATTTGCCAGCACTTCAGCGCGCTGAAATGTCAACTTCCTAAATGTCGGAGATGAATGATCGACACAAAAAGGCAAATAGAATAGATAATTTTATGAAGAAACCAGGGTTGAAAAACCGCTTCGCGGCTTTTCAACCCTGGCCCCGTCCAGGACCTGTGAAAGTCCTTAATTTGCATGTTTCTTCCTGAATTCCAGCAAGAAAAAAAAGTGAAACACGGCTCCTCTGTCCCTTTATATAAGCTCTTCCTACTTCCGGCGTATGCTAATTTCCCCTATCAAACAGGGTTTTACAAAAACCTATTTTTAATAGCGAAAACCGCAATTTTTCAAAATTTTGATGTGTGTGCAGTCGATTCCGGACCATTCTAAACCTATTGTCGTTTCTTCCCTATCCAAAAAACCCTACCCCGGAGCTGTAGGAGCGGAACATCCTAACGGAAATGCATGCAAATATACACACACACAAACACTATTTTTTTATATATAGTAGGATTTAGACAATAATCTATACCTGTAATCCAGGCAGCCCCATCGGACAGGTCATACACCCAGATTTTGCGATAGCGTATCCCCATGAAATGACTGAACGACCATCGAGGCCAGGCTGGCCTGGAGAGCCTAGAATTTAGCTGCTTCAGCACTCTAAAGAAAATTCGACCTGAATGTCCTGCTTCACCAGGCTCTCCTGGGTATCCAATAGGCCCGCTTGGGCCGGCAGGGCAAGCTTGTTTTGGTTTCATATAGGCCTGTTGCTTCCCGAAATCTAGACAGAGGCTTTGATAAGTTTTCAAAATTTTGAAAACAAATTTCGAGTTAACCAAAGCAGGTTTTTATTTTTGCCGATTGTCTAAGCGATACCTTTCAATTTCCTGGGCTTTGGAATCTCGTCAATCTCATCAGAATCCAAGCTCTCAGTTGGGAAACCTAGCTTTATTTTCGCTAGGCCCCAGGGGTTGGCTGGATGTTCGGCCCCCACCTCCTATGTAGGAGGAAAAAGCAAGACGGTATGTGCCAAGCTAACGAGCGAGGCACCACCATTCGGGGAAGGTTCTTTCGGCGAAGTTGGAGACAAAATCTGGCTTTGTAGCCGGCGATGAAGAGGAGATCGGCAGTTCGAGTTTTGAAATTCGAATGTCTTCGGATTGGGCTTTTCCTCGAGCGCGTCCTGATGTTTTGGACGGCTTTTCGTGACACTTCTGCGCTGTTCAACCCGCTTTGCCAGAGGTATTGCGTCCTTCTGCTCATTTCGCGCAAATGAAGACTTTTTCACTTCATTTTTGCGAATACTTGAGCAGGGTGTCGCGGATTTCGGCACTGCGGCGCTCAACCAAAAATTTTTGGGAGCTAGAACGAGACGTCCGCGTTTCGAAGAATATCGAACGGGAATGAAGCACCTTTATTCGGTAACTTTGGAGTCTTTCTTCAAATCCAGGCTTGTTGATGCGCGCTCAACAGACAATAGTCTGGAGCGGCTGTAGTCGTCGTCGTTGCCAAAGTCTTGCTGGGCATAGACTTGCGTATGTGTACGCTCGCTGACAAGCGAGTTTCCACTCTTCGGGGAGAGGTGCGCCGGTTTGAGACCGGTTCGGCCCCCAGTTGGGAAACCTAGCTTTATTTTCGCTAGGCCCCAGGGGTTGGCTGGATGTTCGGCCCCCACCTCCTATGTAGGAGGAAAACGCAAGACGGTATGTGCCAAGCTAACGAGCGAGGCACCACCGGAAACCACAACAAGAAGAAAGTCAAGGCGTGTGGGGAAGCTCAAATGCTCAACTCGTTGTGGGCAAAAGAGTGTTAGAAGTTTATTACATGATAAAACTATGGGGCAGAGACGGAGAATGAGAAGTAGTGAGGGAGGAGGAAAAGTTACGCCGAGATTTCAAACTTTGTCTCATGGAGACCAAAGATTTGAGCTCGACAGACGGGGGGAGAATACACAAGAAAAGAAAGGGAGAGGGTTAATGAGACGGGGAGGAATACAGAAAAGACGAAGGCTAAAAACCACAACAACCGAGGTCGAAGTGGGGGAAAACAAAAGGCAAAAAGGCGGGGAAAGAACACGGAGGCCTGGGCCAACGTGAGGGGAAAAACATAAGGCGAAAGGCGGGGAAAAGGGAGAACACGAAAACCTAAGTTAACGTGGGTGAAAAAACATAAAAGCGAAGGCGGGGAACGGAAACGTAAGGCACAGGGGGAATTAATAATAGAAAAGAGAGAGTGGAAAAAGGGAAGGGAGGAAGGGAAGACACGAAAAAGCGAGACCCGGAAAAGAGACGAAAAGCCAGGCTCACTAGAATTTGGTGGGCCGGCGGGTGGAGAGAGGACGGGGTACGGGCGCCACGAGTTGCGCGTCGTACAGGGCAAGAAACAGGGGGGAAAAGGGAAGGGGATTCCAACTTCTCGGCTTCTCGAATCGTCCTAACCACATAATTTTCTCTGCGCAACTCGTTCCAGGCTAGATTAAAATCTTTCTAAAATTATTCGTTTTTTATTACATTTTCTAAATGTCTAGACTTTTTGCCGATACCTCAAAATCCTCCAGGTCGCTACGTGCAGCATCGCGGAATTCCTTTATTTCTCTGTACAGTAGTGCCAATAGTAAAGCAAAAATTATGTAAACCAAGTAGACAAGAAGCAAAACGAGATTATGCCGGGCGCAGGGTTTCATTTTTTGCTGTCCGGAAGACATATTTTTCAACGGAATGACTTAATTTGTAGGCACCCACTCTTACGGTCACACCCCAAAAGCTTCCAACTGCGAGGTAAGAGGTCAGGGACCAGTTTCTGTTCTCGCGTTGTAGAGTTCTGGAAATTACCAGCTCAAATTTGCCGAAAACACATTGGGGCAAGAAAACAATTTATTTTTATGAAGGTTTCTCATATATTTTCGAACACTAGTTTATTATAATAACAACTTCTGCAAAACCCGGAAATAAATAAATCCACAACCTTAAATACCTGACGGTTCATTCAGTTTAGTTTCAGGGATTCCGAAATCCGGTCCGCGCGCCTCAGCGTTGCTTTCTAGCAAATAGCCAGATGTTTTTGAGCCTGTTTCGACGGGAAAACGCTTAATTCAAAAATGCTGACGCTATTTCTGGAATCCTCACCGGATTTTGATCATTCTAGACGTTTTAATTTAAAAAATTAACTAGAGAATCACCGAGATCGAGAGTGTTTATCACGAGAGTCATTTGGTGACTTACAAGGGATTACGACATGTAATCGACGCGCAACCCAAAAGGCGCTTTTGCCTGGAACATTTCTTTTTTTACTCAAATATTTGACGTTTTTCGCAACAAAATCAATTTTCGGTGGCTGATCGGCAATGACCCTTTCCTGATCGACACAAATTTTGATTTCCGAGCCCCCGATTGTAGAGGTTCAATTTTCATTTTTCGCTAGCTGTAAGGTAAAAATTATTTTTGTTATTTGGTGAAATCGTTCTCTCGCACGCATTACAGCCAGATCAAAGTCTTACACACCCTGAAATCAAAATTTCACATCGAGCGAGTTCGCCAAAGCGAGCCAGCAAGTTCGCCAGGCCGTATTTGCCGAATGTGCTTACTAATGGTCAATGGCCTCAATTTCTTTGTTTTGCCGATAGTCCTTAGTTAGGGAAAAACATTTTTGCAACCGATCCCAGGGGCGGCTCCCTAAAACGTGCTCCATTCGAGTACTTGGGAGCATCCCCGGGCCTGTCCAAGAAAGGATGGCACCGGAAAAACAACTTTTGCAACCCACTCTAGTGGACTGCGGATAGCTAGCAATGTTTTGTTGATGGTTATGGTTGGTGGTCGAGTGAAAGGATTAAATAGAATAAGAGATAGAGAGAGAGAGCGAGAGAGAGAGAGAGAGAGAGAGAGAGAGAGAGAGAAAGAGAGAGAGCAAAAGAGAAAGAGAAAGAGAGGGAGAAAGAGAGAGACAAAGAGAAAAGGGAGAGGGGGGGGGGGGGGAGAGAGAGAGAGAGAGAGTAGGGGGGGGGGAGAGAGAGAGAGAGAGAGAGAGAGAGAGAGAGAGAGAGAGAGAGAGAGAGAGAGAGAGAGAGAGAGGAAGGAGCTCTTGGCTCCTCGTCGGCGATAACTACCAATATAAAAATGAAAACCTAGAAATCCATGAATGACGTGCTAGATGTATCGATAATATTTGACTTTTTAACGCATTATTTGAATTTGGGACCTTTTTAGGAATCGGCTATTTTCTTTAGTGTTTGATCCCAAAAGCCACTCGCTATTTTGATCCAACGTTCGCCCAGTATACCTTTGCAATCAGCACTTTTTCACGTGCCAAAACACCAAACTTATTCCCCGAAACGATTAAACAATTTCTTGACACGTTCCTGGGGATCCCCCGCCCTTGCCAAGGCCAATTACCAGCTGGGCGTAAACAGCTGTGTGGGGCGGAGAACCGGTCGCGCGCGCCAAGGTGGCCCAGATTTCCTTGTGTACTTGCTTGGTAAACTGTTGTTTTCGAGCGGCTAAATGGCTATCTCTCTATCTCGCTTTTTCTTGTTCTCTCTCTCTCCTCTGACTCTCTCTCTCTC